TTAGGCTCCTATTATTTATTTTATGTCCATTATTTAAGCAAAATCCTTACAATCATGGGAATGGTATGCATATAATTTTCTTCTTTTTCTCAATGCCCTTCGTTTACATGCCTAGTTTGAAGCTATGCGGTTAATTAATGTTCATATATGAAATACTATAAAGCGATCTAAAATTTACCTTATTAATGGTTATACATGAAAGAGATGTCTAAACGATCAAATAATTAGAACAATTAGTCTCGGTGCTTTAGAACCAATGCTTAATCTGCCTGCGATTTAGTTTAGACTTGCCTTTTCTTTCCAAAACGGATTCTTAAGTCTAACTTCACCATCAGCCTTAATCAGGACTAAAAAGGAAAGTCATGCTGCGGGAAATCACGTGATTAAATTGAATATTTGTAAAATTTTCGAAAAATGGGTTAATATTGGTTCCTTCTATCGTAAACTGTATCTATTCTAATTGCTAACTAACCTTAGCTCATTAATATTTGTTCATTAATGTCTTTTAATTATATTTCCTCTTTTTCACATTAAGTTATTTAATTTAAGCAAATTTAGCTCTCTTCCGTTTTAAGGATCAAGGGGCAATTGATAAGGATTTCTTTCGATCAATTTTTTTTACATAACTGGCAATTCTACGAGTCCTTTTGATTTCAACCTAGTGCTTTTCCTATATCCCAATCTGCTTAAACTTATAATTGTTGATGGTGCCAATTAAAGCTCCATACTTTCTCTTTTTCTACTTTTCCCCCCTGTTTTTATGCATTATTGGATTAGCTTGGGGCTAATGTCTCAGTTATTCTCAGTCATAACTACAATTACTTATTGGTAACTTTTTATCTTCTGATCTTTTTCAATTGGCATTTTTCCATTCTTGTTATCTGCTAACTATCCAGTTGGTGAATTTATCCATTTGAAGTCTTGTTTTAGTTACCTGCAAAAAAAGGCTGCATTTTATACTACACTATTAAGTTACGAATCAATTGCTTTATTTTGGTATTTATTACTCGCACAGATCTCTGGAAGTCCGTGAGCATCCTTACTTTAAAGGTATTGACTGGCATCAGGTCTACCTTCAAAAGTATCCTCCTCCTCTGATTCCCCCTCGCGGCGAGGTTAATGCTGCTGACGCCTTTGATATTGGCTCTTTTGACGAAGAGGACACAAAAGGCATTAAGGTGACTTTATTTATTTCTCCTGCCTCTGCCTTCATGCCTCCGTTTACATATAATTAAATTGTCTAGTTAATTGTAAAGAGTTTTTTTTCATTGCCTTTATTTAAGACATGAAGAATTCGGCACTTAAATTTCCTTCTTTCAACACGGTAATCACCTTTTCTGGCTTTAAGTAGAACTATATCAAATTCATCACTAGAAAGCAAAAAATATATAATACAATTTCCTTGATTGCATCTGATTCTAACTTCCATTATTATTTGCACACAGGACAATTTCATAAAGTGACTAGAAACTGCATGGCATTTCTTAGGATCGTTCACAAGTTTGAATAGAAGATAATTATCTCGCTCTAACTCGATGCTTAAATTTATGCCATTCTTATAATATTTTTTAGCCTAATAAAATCCTTCCATTTGTCTTTTCAATGCTTTCCATTGACAAGACAGCCATCTATATGCCTTTCTAATAACATAATTTGGTCTTGTAGCATGATTCTCCATTTCGAAGGAAAAGTTGGTTGGAAGGAATTTGTGATGTGGTCGCACCGAAAACCGAAGAGGATTGTCGCATAGGGAAGACTGTTAAATTGTACGAAGAAGTCCTTGGCTCATCGTCCTGCGACCCCGATGAAACTGTGCTCAGCTTTCGTCTGTACTGTGACAGAGATAATGAGAGCAAGATTCCATACTTTACGAAATAGAGCAAAAATATATTAGGCCAAGAGAAAAGGTGGCCGGCTACAATCCTAGTCGCCTTTTTATACACATAACATCGTGATCATAATGAGGCCTTCCATGATTTGGTTAGCTACTTCAATCTTACTCTACATGCTCCTACAGTGAAGTTAACTTCTCGAACCGAAAGTCCGTTTGGTGGCAGTGTTTAATTACACAAAAAACTAGCGTAGGTCGTCTAATGCTGAATCATGTTTGGGCTTGTTCTATTGTCTATTCTGTGCATGAAAAGCTCATGTCATGGGAGGTGTGATAGTCCTAGCTATACTCGAGGTTAGTCCAGCCTTCTTTTCTTGCTCAATTGCTCTTTCTCACCCCCTCTCCCTCTCTTTCCTTAAGTCTATCCGACAGTCACAAATAGTTCCTACTTAGTTTTATAGATTCGTTCATCTTATTCAGGACGTTGGCTGTTTTTTTCTTTTTTATCGACTCCCTAATATTTCGCTTCGACGTTTTTTGTTCGCATAGTCATATGAATAGGTCGCAGGTCTCCCCCACATATACCTTACCACATGAGCACAAAACCTTGTAACAGTATGATCTAGAAAGAGGGTTTGAATATTCTCTGAATAAAGGAACTACTGAAGAAAACGTTAATTTCTCTTTATACATTGTTTTTATGTTCAATTTCCTCAGTAGATCACCCAAATTTTTCGTAAGATGATAGGAAGGCATAATCAGGGATCGAGTAGAATTGTCCAGTTGTCTATCCCGCACCTGTTATGATTTATGGGTGTTGATCTAAAGTTAATTCTAATTCCTTCATTACCTCGTTTATCGGAATGATAGTGTACATAGACATTACATCGTAACTTGTCAGCAAATATCCCCTTTCTATCGTCCGATCATCAATTAACTTAATAAAGTCGTAGGAGTTT